TCTTCCTACATGGTAGATAGAGCTCTGAACAACTGCTTCAGATAACACAATTCTATCTAAGAACGAAGGAAAAAGCCTCCTTGATGTGTTCCATTTATCCTGCGAATTTGTTAAGACAAACTTGAGGAAAAAGGAGGAGAAAAAAAAAATCAGTTCAGGCTGACAAGCGCGCAGAACGTTCAGCCTTCTCCAACCCCAGGTTGGACTCCAATCCCCCTGCTTCCCAGCCAATCGAGTACGAGGGTTGGTGGGGGACGATGGGAATTTTACCCCCAACGGATCTGAGCATTTGGGTAATACCTGGTATGACGGGCTGGCTCTTTCTCTGTCCCATTTGGGAATGGAGCAGAGGTTCAGGATGAACCATGGTTGAAGACAGGGGTCGGCAACCCGTGGCTCTGGAGCCACATGTGGCCCTGCTGTGGCTCCCTGTTGCCGGGTTGGCGCCACAATTGATAGGGCTTTAGGTTAGGACAGGTAGATGAAAAAAGATGCCGCGCTAGGAGGAGACTGTATGGTGGGGGAACGGCCATAGAGTCTGGTCGGCTCCAGAATTGAAAGCGGGGGGCTTCCACCTTCTTGTGAATGTTTTAAGGTTGCCGATCCCTGGTTTAAGAGATTAGGTCCACCTGATCTCACTTTTGGCAAGGATTTCCAAGCTAATTTCCACCGTGAAACATGCATGTATATATATGAAAGGTTGACGACTATTGCAATTCCCTAAATCTTCTTTTCTTATGGCAAATTTTCTAAAACTATCCTTCCTGTCACTAAAAAAAGCATTCGTTCTTGAATACAGAACCAATTGTGAGGTGCTCTGTTGCTTTAAAAAAAAAAGAAAAAGCCACCCACTTATTTACAAAGCTTTCCCCACCTTAGTTTATTTACAAGCTCAATAGAAATTATATGGAAGAATTAACTGGTTAGGAACAAAAAAATTCAGTTGCTATTTAAAACCACAAAAGTATAGCAAAAGTATAAAAATTCATTTTCACAGTATGTAAATAGGTTAAAACGTATAAACAAAGGACATTGTCACTGTTGGTTTTTGTTTTCACATTGTCTATGTAAGCTAAAAAGGTAGATAAAGAGACTCAATTATGAACCAATTTTCTATGATTTCACATATCTAACCCAAAGTTTCCTATAGCTGTCTCACTGACTTCCTTTAATTCCTGCGTTATTATAAACGAAACGAATTTGCAGTTCTGGAATAACTTAACATTGTAGAGTCAGCAGCACAACAGGCTCACTGCATACTTTGCACCTGGGCGAGGTTAAGGTCTGAACTTCGAAGGAGTAAGAAGGTGTACCCCCATCACAATGGAAACACAGTGCAAAACGGCACAAATTAGAGGTTGTGGCTAGATTTGAGGCCTGTCGTTTGTTCACCTTGCAATATTCCAAGAGAAAAAGAGAGCAAAGTCTGAGGAAGACGCTTGAGGGCTGCTTCACACAATGCATTTTTGCCTTTTGTGCAAAGGGCAGTCACAGGTATCTGGAAAGCTCAACACACTGCTTGCTTTACTGCTGAGGCTCCGCACAGAGTGGCCTTCTAACACTGATGATGTTAGCTAGTTGGGTCGTGAAACGTCTGCAAGGAAACAGCTAAGCTCACGGAGTGCCAATCACCCCACAGTTCAACCCTGAGCTACTAAATATTCTCTCCTATCAGTAGAATCGCTCGTCTAGCTTTTCAGCAGCTAGAAATCCTTCACAAGGGTAGAGTGGCCGGTTAAAATGGCAGCCGCGGTAGTTACCTGCTATTAAGAGAGTCAGCTTGAATGCAACAACACTGGCACAGCTTCTGTGTTACTCAACCTTGGCAATTTTAAGGTGCCTGGACTTCAATTCCCAGAATTCATGCTGGCTGGGGGAGTTCTGGGAGTTGGAAGTCGAGGCATCTTAAAGCGGCCAAGGTTGAGAAATACTGGCCTAAGGTATGGGGAAAGGAGGTATGGACAATGTTATGACAGGAGCGAGGAATTAATTAGTCGATATTATCAAATTTCTAGGTGTTTTTCTTCCCTGCAGTCATCTGGTCTTTGCTGGATATTTGCCTCTAATACATAACTAGAGCAGAAACTCATTTTATACACGTGCATAAATCTTATGGAAACAGTCGGAGAACAAGTTGCTTTAACTTTATACACGTTGGCTTTCTACAGTTGCCATGTCCTATGAAGCTCTCTGATTTATACAGTACTATATTATGGCTTGATCGTTTTTAACCCTAGCAGGCGGCTGAAAAGAGGAAAACAACCTATCAACACAAGCAAGGACGTAAAAGCCTTTTAAAAGAAGGTTGTTGTCAGATGGACGAACTCTTAGGCAGGTTAACATGAAGTATGCCCTGTTTATGAAATCTGCATAATTAAAAAGAAAGTAGCCTTTTGGATACATCACTCTTTGGTAAACTCAAACCAGCTCAAGTTTACAGATTAAAAATAAATAAACAAGCAGTATTTTATACTCTGGAAGGACCGAGAGAGGGCTAAGACCGCAGAACCGAAAATTAACAGTCCTCTTTCTTTCTTTCTTTCCTTTTTTCTTCCTTAATCCTGCTTACTATGGAGTAAAGCCAACTGATTGAAAAGGCACCGCAGCAGAGGTTTGACGTAAAAGGGTCGCGATTAACTTGGACAGCTGGACTTTTGCTAAGAAAACCTTGGCAAAGCAATTTAAAAACCCGGTTTCATTCTTTGGGCAAAAATGCTTCTTAAGCTTACGTCTTAAGAAGCGTTAAGAAGGCGCATGAATGGATGGTCTATATGCCCTCGCTGAAGCCTGGGATCCAAAGTTGCCCTATGGAAGTGTGAAAATTGTTTCTCACCCCCTTCTTCTGGTACTTCTCCCCCGCCCAGTCGTGTCCGAATTTAAGGTGCGGTGCTCACCTCTGTTTTGGGGGCCGAGGGAGCCAGCATTGTCCGAAGACATTTTCCGTGGCCACATGGCCATCCACCATAGGTGCACGGAACGCTGTTTCCTTCCTACCGAAGTGGTACCTATTTATCTACTCCCATTGGCATGCTTTCAAGCCGCTAGGTGGGCAGGAGTGTCCTGCCAACCGCTACAGGTCGGCCTCGACTTACAACAGTTCATCTGGTGACCAAACGGCGCTGAAAAAAGCGACTTACAGCCGTTTCCCGCACTTACGGCCTTTGCAGCATGCCTGTGATCAAAATTCAGACGCTTGGCAGCTTGGCTCACGTTTAATGGAATTCTGAGTATCAAAAGGTGCTTTTTCAAGAGGCTCCTGGACTTTCTGAAAAACCAGAAAGTCCAGGGACCTCTTGAAAAAGCTCCCTTGGGATAACCCTGACCTGGATGACTGAGAAGCTCCGCAGACACCGGAGTACCCAAGCACCCTTCAAACCAAGCATCACCAATCTGCTCTGCTAAACCTAGTTAACCCTACTGCCTACACCTTCAGCCACTAATTGAAACAGCCACTAATAAACCCAGCCAGGAGAGAAATTTGGGACACTCGAGTTTCCGGTAAAAGCCAAGACACCGATCAAAACGCTGCTCACCTCACCAAACGCAAAACTAACATGCTTTAAAACAATCGAATAAAATCCGTCATTTTCCCTGTTGTGTAGATTTAAAAAAAAAAATACAGTCAAGTTTGCCAGCTTATAACTGTTTGAGGTCTGTTTCAGAAAAGCAAAAATCTAAGCGGAAAGGTAAAAAAAGGTTTACTACCAGTTTAAAGTTTCACATTTTCTATGCTGTAGTAAGGGAAAAGAAAAAAAGTTAGCACCACTTTTAAAAGTTATTAAACATCTGAAAGCAGAGAAAAGAGGATATTCGTTATTGGCTCTCTGTGAAAAATACTGATCAGCCACCGTTAGGGAGAAGCTAAAAGTTGCCTCTCTAATACAATAGGATATATTGCTCATTGTTTCCCATATAATATCATTACAAAAAAAGTAAAAAAAAAACCCCAACTGTTTCATTTGAAAACATTTAAGTATGAAGGTAAGGTGTACCTGAAGAAGTCTGTTTACAAATACTGCAGTGAAATATTGTAGATTCAAATACAACATCCTTTTTAACTGTTTTAACTGTTAAGCTGACCGTTAGCTATCCAAAGCAATTAATGTAAAACGTGATTTAACCTGGTCTGCCTTTTTACAGTACGAAATGAAGGTAGATTCTGAGCAGAATAAAAAATAGTTAAAACCACAATCCTATATTCTGTGTTGGCTAATATAACAATACATTTTTTGTTCCTATAAAAAAAGAGGAATCAGCACCAAAGTTGTCCAGTTTGGATTCTAGACAAAAAAGGCCCAAATTAATACATTTATGGCATTTGGTTTATATATGTTATGGAGCAAAGTTATACTAAAAAAAAGTTATACTTTGCTTGTGTCTGGACATCATATTTGCACAAAAAGGGGAAAACATACAAACAAACCAAGAACAATGTTTCTTGAACAAAATCCAGGCTGGGGGACTTAAATGAAGTTTGAGAGCCTTATCAACAGGGTTCTTTTTAAAATGTATTTAAGATATTCTACATTCACCCCTCACCAACCAGAAGAGGAAAAAAACAAACCAACCCCAACCTCTTATAAGTGTTTATATATATATATATTATATATAAAATTCAAAGCTATCGAAATAGTTATTCCACAAAGAAAAGAAAAACCTTCTTGAGCCCACGTTGTCATATGACAAAATAAAACAAGCACAGCTGAGAGGCGCCATTTCTAGCTTCCGAGCTCTGCCACCTCAATCAAACTGAAAGAAGTCCTACTGAATACAATGAGACTCACATCCAGGGATGTCTGCCTGCTCCCCACAACACAACATTGTGGTGTCGTTTGGTGAACCAGCCTGCACTATCCCTGTTGTCATCACATCTTTAGCTAACAAAGCTCGCCCCACCGTCAGCGAGCGCATCATCTCCCTAAGATGGTTTATTGGGCTTCTTTTGCAAAAAAACCAAGCAGCCTTTTTTACTGGAACCACGCCGGCAAGAATGGCTAAAATTTGGGGGTGAGGTGGGGGGGTGTTGAAAAACCACGCAACTATAACTCTCGTAAAACCAATCGAAGGGAATGAAGAAGGAACTTGTGTGCTTTGCTCGAGTTGCGTGGAGAGAGAAAGCGCCTTGGTTTTTGTTTTTTTTTTCTAATCGGGGGTGTGCACATCCATGGTATAATCCAGAGTCTCGTGCACGGAAGTGTCGTCGTCTCTCTGTTCCATATAGACTTCTGTTCTTTCGGGCGATTCCACCCGGCTTCGGATTTCGGCCACGCCAGGATGGTTCTTCCGCAGGTGTTGGTTCAAGGTCCCTTGGAAAGGGAAACACTTCCCGCAGACTTCGCAGCGGAAAGGCTTGTCGTCGGTGTGGCCGCGGATGTGGTACTCGAGCTGATCCTTGCGGGTGTATTTTTTCCCGCAATACTTGCACACGAAGGGCGTGATGCCCATGTGCAACCTCATGTGCCGGTCGAGGCTGCCCTTCTGGTTGAAGGACTTCCCGCAGTAGATGCAGATCAGCCGTTCACTGTAGGCGTACCAGTGGCCTCGGGAATTCCTCTCCCGGGAGCCGCTCTCGTAGCCCGGCTGATGGGCGGAAGGCTCGCCGTCGGCTGCCGACACCAGGCTAGACACGTCGCTGTGCAAGTGGCTAGTGGAGACCCGCTTTTGACGCCCGCGGCCTCGGTAGGAGCCGAGCATCGACCTCGAACTGCTGGAGCTCCTCAGGCTGCCGAAGGATTCGGAGACGTTGGCAGACTGCGAGGCTCCCTGGGAATACGAGAAAGCATTTTGCAAGACGGAGCCATAGGAGCCGACGTTAACGGCCACCACTTGTTCTCCGTCCACCATTTCTGTGTGGTATCCATCGTCGCCAAGCGAAGAGCTATCCGAGCAGCTGGGCCGGTCGGATTTTTCCATCTTGACCTTCACCTCGGCAGCCTGGCTCTCTCTAATGATCAGCTCCGCTTGATCGTGATCTCCTTCGACTTGAATCTCGTATTCCGAAACGCTACCGCTGCTGCCCCGGTCCGAGTGGCCTTCCTCCTGCAGGCGGCCGCGGAAAGCGTTGACCGGTGTCGTTTCCATCCGGAGGTCGTTCCCTGAAGCTGGCGGGCGGCCCTGAGCGCAGTAGGGAGGAGGGGAAATCTCAACGGGGTTGGCGAAATAGCTGCCCTCCTTCAGGCCATTGTGGTTCTCCAGCGGATCTTCGGCCCCGATCGTCACCGAGTCGACTTCCTCGACGCTGATTTTCGAATGGATGCTTTCCAGGATCTGAGTGCACTTGTCGATGACGCACTGCATCTGGAGGAAGCTGGCGGCGGTGAGGAAGCTGACCACGTCCTTCAGCTGCAGAGACATCCTTCCAGTGTAGCAAAAAGAAAGCAGCTGCTCGAAGACGCTGGGGTTTTTAATGACGGAGATGGACAAGCCGCTCATGGTGTTCAGGGCCGAATGGTCGCGGAAGTAGGGAGAGCTGGCGGCTAAGACAGCTTTGTGAGCTCGGAACGGCTGGCCCTGGATGTGCACGACGATGTCGCAAAGCTTGCCCTGCAGGCGGAGTTCGTTCAGCTGGCTCAGGACGCTGCTGCTGTATTCGGGAACGTCAAACTGGATGAAGCTGCTGCTGTCCATGTCTCCTGGCCCAAAAGGTGCAACCTGCAAGAAAGGAGGACACAAAAAGAGCGTTCGCAAAATCAGAATTCAAAATGCACGAATTGGGGGAGAGAAAAGAAAGGGAAGAAACCCCACCAGCCGTTTGGGGCCGGGGATGCGATTTTTTTCACTTGGCGCCGCATACGATCTGCAAGTTGATGAGAATAAAAATATAAGAGGTGGCAAGTTTTACCCGGGATTCAAGAGAGCAAATTACATTTCTGAGACATGCGCGAAGTGGGAGGGAATTAATTCCCCCAACAGGGAGTTGCTGGAGGAGGGGGAGGGGGAGCCTGCCGTTTGATCCTGCAATCTCATACGGAGAACATGGGCCCGAGTCATCTCGCATGACCCAGAACTATTCACACGTCCTCCTATTAGCACACTGAGTCTCTTCTCCAAATACTGGGAATTAATAAAGCCATTAGAAGTTGTGCTGGCTGTACTGAGAATGCAAAAAATAAAGGAACTAATTTATCTATTACATTTATTTGGTGCCTATCTCACTGCAGGGCTACTCTAGGTGGCTGACAACAGTAAAAATGAAGAAGTGAAAAGATTATAGACAGTAGATGCCTGTCTGTCTGTCTGTCTATCTATTTAATCTTCTATCACATCCATCTTTTGTATCTATCATCTATCTATCTATCTATCTATCTATCTATCTATCTATCTATCTATCTA